AGTTATTCTGTATAATGCTCTCAGAGTCACGTGCTTGCATTACGCTTTATAACTCCATGTGTCATCCTTATACTATCTGGTACTTCCTTTTTTTCCATTTTGTTAAGTAGCCAGGGCCCCACTTACCATATAAGGTCATTTTACATGAGAAAGAAGGCAGAGAATAGGGCCCTTGTGTGTAAGTTAAGCTAAATTCTAATCCATGCTTCTAATAGTTTTCTGTGTTCCTACATAATATTCTTCACTTCCATCATCTTCCTTTGTACTGAAATCAAGAAAAGGTAGCTTTTCAACTCTTTTCATCCATCCTGAAGTCTTCTCTTATACGACCCCCTTTGTTACTATTCAACAGTCTCTTTCTATTCTCTCTAGATATTTCTAGAATACTTTTATATTTCTTCTATTTGCCTAGGCAGTGTTGTTATATTTGACTTTATTTTCTTTGCTTCCCTTTCTTTACACTTGCTTTGTTTGCTAGCTAGATTTCATGCAGTCCTTTCAATCTATTCATGTGTTGGTTTGGGGGAGTTTGGTGGTTTTGTTGTTTTTTGTTGTTTGTTTTTCTGAGGGTGAAATGAATAATGCAAATGGCTTTCCTGCTACCTAACAAAAAGAGCTATGTAGCTTTGTGTCTGTTCTTTTATTGCTTTACTTACCTCCCTGCAGTGAGTTGTCTTTTGATCAACTTTCCTCAGTCTTTGCTTTTGCTAAACAACTGAATTTAATTAACTGCTGTATTTTATTAAAACATATCTTGACTTCATAGCTTAAATAGCAAAATAGCAAACTACGGTTTGTAGCAATCAAGTCTGTGTTTTCTTAAGAAAATGGCTTATTTGCTTTATAGTAAGAAAAAAAATTGCATGTTAAGGCAAACATAGATAATATTTATTCAAATTCATATAGCATTTAGTATTTCCATTTTCTTTCAAATAATGTAGCTGTAGCAAAGAAAATAGATATGAAAAAATATACGAAAGCAAAGACAGCACTGTATGTAGAATAAATGCTAAATTGTCATACAACACACCTGGCATGAATGCCAGATTTGTAAGCAGTTCCTCTTGAGATTAAAACATCTTGATACATTCCATAGCTAATATCCTATTCCACAGCAGTGTCTTTCAACTGAAATACTCAGAGTGTTTATAAATATAAAAGTAAAATATAACCTGGCACCAAATAATGTTGCTATTCAGAATTTAAATAACTGACGTGGTAGATGGTGAAGTGTCTTACTCAAGATACAAGAATATTTTCCTCTTCTGTACATTCTGCCAATCTTTGCCAAAACTTACCTTTGAAGTTCATTCTTAGCAATTCACGTTTGTCTCATTTCACTTAGAGTACATTCACAAACTTTTCTCTGTCCTTTACTCACTATATTTGACTACGTCCACATCACGAGTCTCTTAGCATACTGAAAAATATTCAGATATAATAATCTGATATTGGTGCATTATTCTGGAATTTCCTATATAAAGGATGTAGAATCCTTTATATACAAATATTTACACATATGTTGGAGTAATACCCTGCAAAACCCTAGCCAGGCTCCAACAAGGAAATCCTTGTCAAGGAGGAAAAGAAAACTGTACCATTTACAACATCAAAGAATAAATAGTAGTTCTCAAAAGTTACTGTTAGGTGAATATATTACAAATGTAAATAGGTCAATGCATTCCAATGCAATTTGTTCAGGAATTTCTGTTTGTTTGGGTTTCTATTTTGTTGTTGTTGTTGTTGTTGTTTCTTTGTTTGTTTTTAATGAAGCCAGCTAGTGCATACTGTGTAACATTTTAATTCAATTTAGAATTCAGTTTAGAAATGATTCACAGCAAGCTTTAGATTGTTATACACAGAAATGTATGCCGGTTTATTCCTTTAACAAATCTGTTGTTCAGCAGCATACAGCTGTGGATTATTTGTGACCACATACCACATATTGGCTTGAGTATTAATATCAGAATGAGATCATTTGCAAGTGATGGGGTTTTCAGTTCTGAACTGTGATCATCTTCTTCACTAAGAGAATCCCTCATAGGCTTAACGCTGTTTGGTGTCACACTCAGGAATGAATACAAAGTACATAATCTGCCCATACAAGCTCAAGCATTGCAGAAGTCTGGATTATTAACATAGTGGAATTTTAAATTTTTATCTTTTTTTAAAAAAAAAGAAAAAAAGAGAGAGAAGAGAGGGGAGGGGAGGGGAGAGAAATAGTGAGGTGCTGTATTTATACAGATATTGTGTCTGTAAAAGACAAATAAGCCAACAGAGAATAAAACAGACATCTTACAGACATATATATCAGCCAAGTCAAAAGCTTCTTGGTTCAGTGAAAACTCCTGGCAACACCATTTAACACAAATTTTAAAAACACTGTAGAAAACTGTCTCAGTGTACTTTATAAAGGCTGCTGTTTAGTAATGTATCAGATCTTATTTGATTGATTTCTCTTAAGATTAGGATCGTACTGGATTGCAAAAACTGAAATACATACTAAAATAATTTATACAGGCTGTATTTTGAGAGCAGTTTTACTCATTGTAGAAATAAATCTACTTCTCTGTCTGAAGCTATCAATTAAAATGGGAGCCATTATTCACGAAAATAAATATATAGTGTGTTATTCATGACAGGAGAATGTATCATGTATAAGTGGTCAATAAATCATTTTAGGGAAAAGTGATACTGAAAATGGCGGCACTTAAGCTTTCAATTTTCATTAAAACTGTAACTGCATGATGGTGTTCACCAGAGATTCAGTCTCTGCCACACAGTCCCTTGTGAGGACTCCTTGTTGCTCGATGTTGGTCTCAGAACTTGTCAGAAAACTGTAGCCTTTTGTCTTGTACCTGAGTGAATCCATAGAGTTCCAAAACACATCAGAGACTCTGGAATGGTGCAGAGGGGGCCAGGCTCTCCAATATGATGCACATGTCTCCCGCTATATTTTGAGACCTACACTTTGAGCATCTATCCATTATGGGTTCCATGTTTGCCAGGAAGACTGTGTGAAAATTCACCTGTGGACTCCATGGTATTATCATCACAGGACAACAGGAGGATGTCTGCTTTACAGCATATTTTCTACATTTTATTATTTTCCTCATCTACTTTTTTTCTTGCCTTGTCAAAATGTCCTTAATCGGCCACCACAGCACCTGACTGGTCTCCTGTTTAAATCAATAGGCCAACTACAGTTATGTGATCCCAGTCTCATTTTCAAAATGTTTAATCCAGGTGCTACGTTTTGACAAGATTTCCAACAAAGGTTAAATTTAGTGGCAATGAACACACTGGCAACTCAGATCTTGCTAAGCCACCACCTTAGGCATATGCTGTGTTTCATACGCTGTAGTACAGGTAACACCATGAACAAAATAATTATAACTATAAAATGAACCCAGTGCCTAAGAGGCCTTGTTGTACAGTTAGCATTGCAATGTAATATCAACTGATCTTTTGAATCCTCCTCTAAACTTTCTCTTTCCCTGCGCAGGGAGATGGTGGGAATGGCAAAGCCAGACAACCATTACTGTTTGGCAGTTCTCAGGTCCCAGAACCATTTTACTGACAGAACCGTTCAATCAAGAAACTCAAAAGCTGATTAAGTTGTATCAACCTCAGAGTCTTCCCCCTCCCACTTTCACTTTGGGAGGCACATGTGAGTAGCATAGTTTCCATTTTCTCTACTGATAAAATTGTTGAAGGCATTTCTGAAAAGGACACAAAATCAGCTGAACGGGTAAAAAAAAGAAAAAAAAGACAGGAGGACTTCTAGTTTGCAGATTGATATGAAAGAGCTGATTTAGTCTGTGAGGCTTTTCTTAATGTCTTCAACAGAGTTGGGCTCTGAAAGCATGACTTAAATGGTTTATGGCAGTAAGAGCCATGTATTACCCTTCAAGACAAGGCTGGCTGTGGCTCTGGGCAGCCTGGTCTGGTGGTTGACAACCCTGCCCATGGCAAGGGGGTTGAAACTAGATGAGCATGGTGGTCCTTTTCAACCCAGGCCATTCTACGATTCTTTTTGGCTAGTTAGCAAGATTTTTCAGCTTATTTTTTCTCATTTTCTTCATCTTTTATTCAGGCATAATTTTTCTTCCTAATATTAATATTTCCTTAGATTTCCATATCCAGAGGCTTTATTTCAGAATAGGGTTTTTTTTTGTCTGTGGACTTTTCCCTCTTACAGAGACAATTAAACTGCTGCTGCTAAGTACAATGGTGTCAGATTTTACATGTTGTACTGGCAGTAGATTATCACAAAATCGTCCACTCTAGTTTACCTACCTCGAAAGCTATTGGCTTTTATTTACAGCACACTCATATCACACTGTCATAAGCCTGTTCAGCAGTGACCTTCCGGCTCAATGAAAATAGTTTGTTGGAAAAAATTAGACCATAAGTTCAGTCTCTCTAATATTTGCTCAGCTGGTACAGAGGTACATAAAACCACAAGATAATTTGATTTGTGCAGGCTGTATACTGCTGTCTAATTGACCAACAATGCAGCACTGCCCTAGAGCCACTTGCATAATCCATCAACTATTTCCAAAATACTGCAACAAGTTACTTCTTCCCAAGAAGAAGTAGGGAAATATAAGTTTCCCAGTGGGTTTTAATTCATAAGTCTCCTGGAGAGGCTTATGACCATCTTTTCACCAATTCTAAATTCCAGATCGCTGTGGAGTCAGCAAAAAATACAAATGACTATCCAGAAGCAGAGACTATAGGAATGGAAGAGCAGTAAATACTTGTTATAGACAGGAATGCCCTTTCCTCAAACTCCCCCTCTCCCTCTTAGTTTGGAGAAATAATGCTCTGAAGGAAACCAGTCTCAGCTGCCTGTGGAAGCAGGAGATTTGTTTGCTAATTGTAAAATCTTTTCCACCCATTTAATTTAGTTTGAATGCCTAAACTCCTCTACTCAGTGAAAGTACATTTCTGGACACAGGATCTGGCTCTTCCAAGCACTGCTTCTTGTTGAGAAGGAGAAGCTGGCAGAAGTATGCAAATTGAGTTTAAACATTCCTTTTGCATTAGTTTATAAATATTCAAAAGATTCACATGCACACAGGAAAAAACAAACAACTTACATTCTGTATTTAGTATTCTGCATATATCAGGCCTTTCATAATTATAAACAAACATGTAAACATGTATATACTTTTTTCTCTAGTTGGATATTATCCAGAAATTATTAAAACTTAACTTCATTTACTTCTGGTGTGGTACGATGAACACAAATGATATTATAATTACATACTAGTTATCTTTAAAACAGCAAGCAAATACTCTTGCAATTCCGAATCATTGTAATTAGCAATATGTCAATGAATCTAAGCAAGCTTAACTCCAATTATCACTATTTCCCAGCAGATTCCTGCATTACCACATTCTCACTCAACAATAGTTCTTGGAGTTTCACGTTCTGAAAGGCTCTACTCTCAATCATTGATTCTTTTTAGTGATCTCATTTTTTTCAAATGTCTACGTTACATTTATGAACACATGGTAAAATGGCACAAATGGTTTGCAAGTGTGCCACTGTGAGCTGAAGCCAATTTGGCATGCAAGGAGTGATTGGACTAATAACGGTGTTTGTGATGACACAAAAAGAACGAGCATATTGGTGCAAAAGAAAATCTCATAAGATAAGGGTGAGGGACGTCTTCTGCCACCTGGCTAAGGCTGAAAGGGCCTCAGGTGATTATTACTGAGCAGTCTCTATTTGTTCCAGTTTTGGAAATAAAGCAAGCACTGAGGAAGGGAATGCAAATAGATGAGGTATGCTTGGGGACTTCTTTTTTTGTTGTATGAATGATGAGTCTGTACAGCGACTTGCAGTTAGCAATAAAGTCCAGATAGTACTTCACAAATCCTGAGTTAGGTGAGTCATTTACCACTGGAAGAACTGAAAACCTTGAAAGAAAAAAAAATATTCAGTGAATGGCTGCTGAAATTCCCATCTTCATTCATTTCAGAGCTGCTTGGGCCCCTTTTAGTTTCTGTGAACATTCAAACAAGTAATTAGTGCCTGTAGAAACCAGAGCTTAATAGACTCTGTATTCAAATGAGAAGAAGTATATCTTGATACGGAATGGGAAATTAACAGAAACATCATCAGAGCCCTGCAACAAGAGCAACTGAGCACGCAACAAAAAAAAAGAAAATATCATTCATATAAAGAGAAGCATGTGTAAACATCCTATTGAACATGGAAGAAACCAGAGAAAGTACAATAGCTATAGACACAGATATTTCAATAGCTATATATACAGATATTTCCTATGTATATCACAAATATCTATACTTAAATAAATCTGTATGAACTATATTCATTCTGCAACTGTGACTGTTATTTTAAAGGTGACTTATAAATATCTCATTGTTTATGTCTTGGAGTATGTTCTCCTCATACAGAGAAGTTCAAGATGATTGTGGATTCTCCAAGGCCTTGCAAAGAAATGCCAGTTAACAGGCAAATGTACACATACACGATCAAGACTGAAAGGTGATTGGAGAGGTCTGTAAGAAAAGAATTTTAGAATAGTTCCACACACAATGCACATGGTGAATTAAGACAGCTTCTCAAACCGGCTAACCAAGTGATGTCTCATTTGAATGTACAAAATGTCAGAGAGGGCATAACTGCTCAAGCCTTATTATTCAAAGAGAGATAGCTATACAACTGCTTGCTACAATGGGATAGGATGCTGGATGGCCATCCAATTATCTTCTGAGGCTACACTTCTGAAATCAAGACATCCTTATCTCATACTTACATGTGTGCACATCAGGCTTCAATGATCAGGATAGGGAGATCCATTTCATCCTCACTGCTTTCATACAAGAGGTGTCATATAGCCAAAAATAGCCGTAATACTTCAACATAAAAAATAACACATCAATTCTCCTGTTACTTCCCCTCAGACTTGGTACTGGGTAAAGAAGTAGAATTGTGCTGGCATTGCACACTCTTTCTCTCAAGCAAAAGAGACTGCAGCTGGGATTTCCGTTATCATGCAGAAAGAAGCAGTAGAGGACCATGATTTAATATTTTGGAGCTTAAATTTGAGTTTATGAACACTTTCCCATGCTGCTAATTTCAGTGGAAGTAGGAAATACTTAGCACTCAATAGGAAGTTGAGTACTTACACTAATGTCAGCTTTTATGTTTTAACATAGTATTTATGCCTGTGCAAACAGAAATGAGATTTTCAAACCTGGAAGTTTTTGACTGCAGATGAATTACTGTAATTACACCTCAGTAAAGCAATGACAAAATACTATTATCTTAGCTGTGGAGAAAAAGGCTGCAAAGGGGAATGTGTTTTCTATGGCTGAAAATGAATGCATTCTCTAGACTCTGTTAAATTCTGAAACATCATTTACAGTCCACATTCATGACTAGGAGAAAGGCAATCAGCAGGGTAGATATCCAGTCAGTTCTTCCTTTACCCAAATAAATTCCTAATCTGACAACTTATTTCTCTTTTAACAGAGATAACCTGATGAAAGCAATCATTAAGACTCAAGATTAATTCCCAGATATGCTGCAGTTTGAAATTGTATTGGCTCTTTTATTTCAACTGTAAAACTAAAATGACTTGTATACTTAAATACCAGTTAAAAAGAAATACCTACAAGATGGCGATGCTAAGAGGAAAATCATTCTTCCCGTTTATTGAATTTTCATAGTCAGAAAAACAGCTATTGGATTTGAAAGCAGATTTGTTGAGGAAAAGAATTTGCTGAAGGTAGAAAACATGGTGGGGCTTTCCTCCAAATTCCCTTGCTGATAAATGAACGTTAATGCTTAAGCCCTTCTAATGAAGACAAGTTTACCATGGAATAAAGTCGTCAATGATGAGCAGAAAACAGAGCATTTGTAAATACAATGTAGCACAGAATGATAAAGCACATCCAATTTATGCAAAGATGTGCTTGCAGCAGTATGATAAATAATATCCGCATAATCAATTACTGGAAAAAAAGACAGACTAAATAAATTGTTTTCTGGCAATTTATAGAAAACAAGCCTAGCACAAAAAGGACAATTTGGCTTTAGTCTTTTAACAGGATTGCCTGACAAGCACTAAAACCAGACTTACTAGTGATTCAAAGGACACAGTATTTACAACTGTCTATTTTCATTAGCAATAAAATAGTCTATGTAGGGCAAATGCAAAAATCATATTTGTTTTTTACATACTAAGCAGAATACACAATGTAATAACAGAAATATTTATGTTCTTTTGATATTTACTGTACCTGAGATTCTTTGGTTTAAAACACATGCCGGGTGAGAGAAGCGGGAGACAAAGCAAGAAAAACATATTTGATAGGCTCATCAATAAATAACAATAATGGGACACTACAGTAATTTTAATTTGGTACAGTCAATGTATATTTAATAGTCTATATCCACTTGTCTCAGTCAGAAAGTTTTTATTGATCTGGGTAGCACTGATGTGAGCCTTTAGAGATATTTCAGAATAATTTTAAAACTGAATTAGAGAAGCTGCAAATAACACTGTACCTTTACAGAGCGATTTACTTTATGATCCAAAAGATCTCTGAGATGCACAGAGTGTTTCTAGAAAGCATCAGAAACTGCTTAGTATACTGAGAATATTAGAATGAGTGAAAACAGCCATTTAATATCATGAGATTAGCTTTGGAACACAATGTTACTGAACAGAAGCAATTCTCCAACTCACCCTTATACCAACCAAAAGAAAACAAAAATTTAGAAGAAAATATCTAGGAGCTGACAGCACAAGTAACATTTGCCTGTAAGGGTATTCAATTTTTTTTTGTTAGAATCTGCATAACACAACTAGATAATTAACAGAAAAAAAAAAACCCACAAAAAAAAACATTTAGCCATTTATGACCTTCAGTCTACGCAGAACATTAAAATTCACATAACCTCCAGATTCAGTTTCCTCGAAAAACATTCAGTGATGCCTGCAGCACTACTTATTCTATTAGTAAATAAAATGCTGGTTTTATTTTGGTGCCATTCCAGTACAACAAAAATCTCTCTCTTCATCTGTCCATGGAAAAGGTACAGCCAACCTTCAGCAGGCTACTGTTTGTCATTTGTTCTACATAAGGGACACAGCCCTAGTTTCATCAGCTAAGCAGATTAAAAGAGAAAAATCAATATCAAGCTGATGCAATGCTTGATACGCACTTGATTGTGTTTGAGAAGAGGGAGCGTGAAATTTGGCTCCTTAAAATTTGCTGTTGATGTTGGGATTCAGACAAGAGTTTGAATCTACATACCAGATGCCAACCTCCTTTTTGGGACTCCTATCAAATTTTGACCTTTTGGCTGAACAATTTGCATATTTCAAGGTAACCATACCTTGATTAGCCACGATCTGAGTAATGGAAATACTTGGTTGTTCAGAGGTCTGAGATATCCCCAGAGGTTTCGCTTCAGCGCATAGATCTTCAGGCACTGGTCACGCTTCACTGCCTACATGCATACAGAGTTACTTCCCGAAGTCTTTATACCCATTTCAGGACATTAAGGCTTCACTGCACAAAGATTTATATGCTGAAGCATCCTCACATCAAGATTTTCCTACTAAAAATATGAAGAGCTGTTGCTGCTCTCTTCCTGACCCAAGAAACTGTTATCCATAGGGATAGGTGCTGTAAAGGTCCTAAGAGCAAGCACCTAAGCAAGCACCCAATATTAGTCTCCAAGGAGCCTTCAGAAAAGCATCTGTTGAGACACTTGTGGCCTTTGTGTTGAGGAAGCTATACCATACACAGAGCACGCATCTGTGTGAAGGTTAAAGACTTTCTGCAGATTGGAAATAACCAAGACTAAAATATACTAGCAATAGACTGTAAAAATTCATATTCTGAGCATAATAGACTGAAGTGTAACACAGTATAAATTACCTTCTGAAACAAAACAGCAACAGTTCAGTGTTTCACACCGCTGATTCAGTGTTCAGGATTTTACACTGTAATATTAATAGGAAAAACAATTTCAGTTTAAATCGAAGTATTACTGGACTCCCCCAAGTGCTACACTTCTTCTAGTGAAAACTGACATATCTCTGAAGTTTGGAAAGTCAAACGGCTTACATACAACACTGCATTTCCAGTGGAAGTACATATTTGCATCATCGTAAGGATGGCATGTATTGTGATGCAGCCTACTTCACTGTAGTGCATTCTCAAATATAAGCACAAAGGTGCACTGTATCTGCTCTATAAAGTGACTTCCTTAGAAAAACTTCAATTTCTAAATGCAACAGAATCTCATTTTTCTAATTGTCCAAAGAAATGCATCCAATTTTCTCTTCTAGTCAACCACGTAGTGTCAATGAGATGTTTTCCTGGCACATGAGCTACATGAAACACATATATTTTCAATTTTGATGAGTTACATTTTTGGCAGCCATAAATAATTAAAACCTTCATTGAAAATTTCCTCATATAGAAGGGCAAAACGATTATAACCAGAAAATACTTCATGAATAGATACATACTGGCACATCAGAAGTGCGTTAAACATCCTTGAGAGAGTAAACTGTTCATTTTGATTTCATGTTGAAATACTACGGACAGGTTTCCCTTATCAAACATGGAAATTTCATATGCCAAGACCATACCAAGCATGGGAGCACGGGTCAGCCTTTTTTGATGCAAACTCCTCTGAGTTTAGATCTACATTGGAGTCTTCTAGGATTAAGCAGAGATGATGGGCCAGTACCACTACCAAAACAGTGCCATTCAATATTCCTAGAAAAGTGAATGCAGTTTGAGGCTTCACTAGTTGTATCTATTTTGACTTCTGACTGGAATCATGACTACAGAACTTCTTTCAGAGGGCACACGCATTACTTACAGAAAAATAAGTTTGAACTTCATTCTACACTTACCTCAAGTGC